TGCAGGAGATTATAAACTGTTAGAACACAAGAGCCTGGGGAAACCATCAGAGGCGGATATTGAAGTTCACAAGAGGGGGACTGGAAGGTAAAGTAGGTTCAAAGGTTTACCTAACAGTGTTTAGTGCTTGGTAAAGAATTTTTGAATTGTTAAATGAAAGACAGCTGTTTCTAAAGAACCTAAGGGTTCTTTAAGAATATTATATATACTTTTTTGAGGTTATAAGTGTCTTTGACAGAAAATTTATAAATGAATTCTTATAAATAAGTTATTACATTGCTAATAGCCGGGTAGTTGATCTTGCTTTGGTTGGTTGTTTTCCCCAAATGAGGAAACTTAGCAACAGCAGCAGTGTGTTAGGTCCCCATGTCTTCCAGCAAGGCTGCCACAAACGGTAGGCAATTAGGTACAAGCAAACAGGCCCTTGCTACTGGTCTAAAGGCACCAATGCAGGGGAAAAACTGTTGATCTCTTCTGTTAGGCTTTAGCCATTGTTCACAGTCTGGCATGGAATTAATCCCTTAAGAAAGGGATGAAAAAAAATGCCATTCAGCACAACATAGTTTGTCATCACATGCATAATGCAGGCTTTCCAATTAGAATGCTACAATTTGGAAACTTTCTTCACAGACTGATGAGGGAGCAATTATTTTAAGAAGGGAAAACTCAGTCCACTGGGTTTGCCTCCAGTCACTTCTAACTCTGGCCACAAAGACAAGAGTTTTGAAATCATATTCACTATCGAATTTTATATCAAAACACCAGCAAGGAGAGCAATTAGTTGCTGTAAACTGAGCCCCGGGTAATCAATGGTATGCAACCAGCCATTTATGGAAGATGTAAGCAGAATCACATCTGCTAATCAATTTTTTTAAAACCAGCATTTCCCTGCTTTTAGGGCGCCCCCACTGTAAGGATAGTGGGAGATGGAGGAGACAACATGTAATGTCACCAGACATTTCACACGGTGCTCATTAGATGCTGAGCTCTGTGGCAGCCATTCACAGGCCTGATCTGCACTGGTGATTCTCCGGTGGGATAAAGTCAGCCTCTTTGAAAATGGCTTCTGATAATGGGGTGGAGAAGGGAGGGGTATGTTTAAGGAGCTCATCTCCTTTAAGGTCATGAGGAGTGTCTCTGCTGGGTGATCACACTCTGCAAACATTCTCAGCCAGATTACAAGCCAGAAATGTCTCTATGCTGTCAGTGCAAATCCCTAAGAACAGACTTTGCAGGCAGACAAAGGAGCTAGTGAGGGGAAGGTAGCGGGGCTTTACACTGCCTAACAAGAACCCGTAGACAGGACGGAGATTGAACCAGCTTTTCTTTTAGGGTTTTAAACTGTACTTGCTTTTTCAGTTGAAACAACAAAGGGATTTTATTCCTGATGAAGCCTAAGTTCCAAGCAAATAGGCACCCTGGTACATGAATTTGAGTCCCTCTAAAACTGCGCATGCAGAGGACAGAGCTCTGTACTTGATAACCTGCCATCCGTCAGTGTCCCTTCCCACTCAAGAGTCACCGTGACCCTGCATTCCCCAGGGGCTCTTAATAGAAGAATAGAAAGGAGATGTCTCAACCAGTATGTACTCTTGGCTGCTATTCAGGAAAGAAAAAATTTAGGCTAGGAGAAATTATTGAGGTAAAGATCGATGGACTAGGCTAATAAAAATTAATATCTTTAGCATGCCAACTATGATAGGCAGTGAATTAATATCCTTTAGCTCTGGAGGACATTTTGTAAGTCATTAGCAATAGGATAAATATAGAAAATACACAAAATGTTCAAGTTCAATGATAAGTTTTAAAAAAATCCCTGCAAATTAATGAAATGTGTTTGCTATGTAACAGCAGCAGTGTTTCTAAGTATGATTATCAGTGAGACGCTCAGAACTGGGCGCTGACTAGAGTCTGCTGGCAGCACAGCCTGTTACAGATTTCTGCTGGAGATGAGGGAGAAGAGAGGTGTATAGCTGTTCTATGATACATACCACAGGCTCAAAATACGAGTGTTTTTACAAACTTACGAGGGAAGTAGTGGATTTAGCTAAGACTGTTTATTAAAGAGTTTTCCTAACAGTGAAATATTACTAACTACTTAAATGTTGAGTACTAAGAGACTGATTAAATTGTGGGACATCTGTAGAATGAAATTCTTTGAAGTCAGTACCTATGATATAGATGATGCAAGACATGACCTTACAGGATCTCCCTCACTCCCCCAGGGTTTCTCTGTGTAGCTCTGACTGTTCTGGAGCTTGACCAGCCTGGCCTTGAACTCAGAGATCCACTTGTCTCTGCCTCCTGAGTGCTGGGATCAAAGGCGTGTGCCACAGTTTACAGGTAGTGCTGACATCACTCTGGGAGTCTCTGAGGACACCCACCACACTCACACTGGTCAGATCTCAGTGTTGTCTCCATGTCTCGTATCCTCAAGGCAGTCTCTTTCCATGGACCATTTTGAGATCTGATTAGATTCTGCCTCACAGGGACCGAGTGTGTTTATTTGGGTCCTCTATCAGCACTGATTCATAGCTACCTGGAACGGTAGGTGGTCGGAACCCTCTGGTTCTCCATTAATCCCAAATCGTAGTAAGAGAGCCAGGCGTAGTGGCACAGGCCTTTACTCCCAGTACTTAGGAGGTAGATCTCTGAGTTCCAGGACAGCCAGGGCAACACAGAGAAACCCTATCTCCAGAAACAAAAACAAAACACCCCAAGCATCCTAGTGAGAGTTGTCTTGAGAGAAACCTGTTGCAAGCTGTGAGGTGAGGAGAACAGTTAACTTGAGGCTCCCTCATCTGTAATAGTGAAAGACTGTTATTTTATAGCAAGCAGAGCTGTGTCTGAAACAAAGAACTGAAGGGAAAGGAGCTGGGCCCTGGGCACAGGCCTGTTATCCCAGGGGCTCAAGGCCTGAAAGGCAGTAGCCTAGGACTACTGAGTGAGAGTTCAATGTCAGCCTTGGCAACTTAGACCCTGCCTCAAAAGGCAGAGTAAGAGGGCTGTGACCATAGCTTAGTGATAGAACAGTTGACTAGCCCTCGGCCTAATATCCAGAGATAATCATAGGAGCAATATTTCTCTACAGTAACCTTATACGTGAGACAGAACTCGTGCAAGGGTTTTCACTGGCTGTAATCACGGGATTAGAGAAGATACTAGGAATGGCAGTTATGGAGTGATAGGTTATAGTAGAAAATGATCCAGATGCATAAAGTGGAATAACAGCAGTACTTGCTGGGGATTACACACCTGGGTTTTGATCAGGATGCCAGGTTGGAATCCTGCATCATGCACATGCTGACAGTGAGCTTAGATAAGGCACTTATAGCCGCAAGGCTCACTTCTACCATCCATATAATGTGAGGAGTGCAATCATGCTTGCTAAGAGGATATTTAGGTGGAGATAATAGACCAGACTGTGCAGAGCGCTTGACATGGGTCTGATCCACATAAGCATTAAAGCAATGCTGGCTCTCATGATTATCACTGTTACTGCTGTGTTTGCCCAGCTGACATCCACCAAGCACTGGCTCCAAGTGACATGCTGTTCCAAGCTTTGGGTATCGAGAAACTATTTAGACATGGGTACTGCCTTCAGGGCGCTCACTGTTGTAGCTGACTGGAAGCACATGCATCCAACTTCCTGTTAAACAGTGTGATAGTGCATCTACTTTGTTTAGGCAAAAACGGCTGAGATAGTAGAAATCAGAAGCCAAATACAGATCCCATATTGAAAGACTCGGATTCTGTTTTTAACTGAAGAACCGCACATGTGAAATGTGTGGTTCACACATCTTTCATGCATAGCCTGATGAATATTTACATGCTCCTGCAGCCATGTAGCTGCCACTGGGAGCAAACTAGCACATCTCTGGCCTTCTAGAAGGCGCCCTCATCCCACTTCACAATCAGTACCTTCCTTAGAAGTAACAGCAATTCTGAAACCTAGGTAAGTGCTTTCTGACTGAACTTGATGAAAGTGGACTCCTAGTCCATTGAAGTTCTCACCTGAGCAGAAAGAGGGCTCAGAGCAGAACCAGAGAGTAAGTTCCCAGATACTGAGTATGTTTTCTGGTGTATTTGGCTCTCTCACGTTTGGGGTCCTCATAGAACATTGATTAAATTTTTTGTTTGCATAAAAGAGCACAGATTTTTTTCTTGTCATTTCCTTTAAAAATACAGAAGAAAGCTATTTACATCGCATTTGCTTTGTATTGGGTATTATAAATAATTTGAGGATGATGTGAATTATGTAGAAGGCCAGGTGGGCTATTAACAGCCCTCTGATCACAACACTGGAGAAGCTAAGCAGGAGGATTGTGGGCTCGTTGGCCTAGCCTACACCACAAGACCTTGTCAGTGGAGGATGCCCACACACAGACTCATCTTTATACTTGTGTATGTCTATCTACATTTATGAATTTGTGTTCACCTATGTCAGAGGTATGTGAGAATGGATGACTGCATAGATTTTGTATATATAAAATATGTAAGATGTCGTGTTACTGAAGGACTTAAGTAGCCACAGACCTTGAGGGGGGGGTGCTAGGACTAGTTGCTTATAGATGATAAGGGGTAGCTGTATTCCCACATGAGGAAATTTTACCAGGGTCACACGGAAATGTGGTAAAAGTGAGTGCTTGTTAGCACCGTGGAAAAGCCCTCATTCCCTGAGCAGTGTTTCTGGGATGTTGTCTTCAGCTAGCTCCGATGCTACAGATGAAAGCTGGAGAGCCTCAGAGGATGACCGGGGATGTTCTCCCTCCTAAGCCAGTCTGAACCTCGCTGCCATGGGAACAGAGGTCCCCTGGGATTGGGTGGTTAGGGAAGCAGACTTCCAAAGAGCTGACCACAGCCCTTTTCTTCATGTTTTCATTGAGATTCACTTCTGTCTTCAACCTGGATGCAGGGTGGGGCACAGCGGAAGTGGGGGGGGTGACACAAGGCCCCATGACAGGATGCAAACACAATGTAATGTCTTTTTCTTTGTTCAGGTTATTACTCTGGGACTGTGACGATCGAAGCTACAGTTACTACGTTGAGGTTTCCACCAATCAGCAGCAGTGGACCATGGTGGCTGACAGAACAAAAGTGTCCTGCAAGTAAGTAGCATCCTTTCAATGCAGGGGTAGCCCTCTGTGAGCTCAGAGGCTTCTGAGAATGATGAGGTGAAGTGCATTCCCATGATCCTTTGTTTCCGTTTTGACTATTAAGAATTTAAATGAGATTTACTTGCCATGCCCAAATAAGCTTTACTTGTGAACTGAACTTGGAAATGACTGACATGTCCAAACAGGGAAGTAAGAGTTTCCTGTGCAGTCCTCCCTCTGACCTCCAAGCCCCACTCTACCCTTTTAGGGGTTTTTTACTCCCTAATAGAATTTGACTTCACTGATTACTGTGGGCTCTGTCTTACTCTTTACCTTGTGCTGGTCCTCATACCAAATCTTACCTCATCTAGTACCTCAACTAAGCAAGGCAAGCCATGAGCCTTAGGCTCTTCACAGGCCTCTGGCATTGGGTCTCTATTGAGCTTATCTGGCTGTGGGAACACCTAGAAAGAAGAATTCTGTGAGTTCTGACCATCTTTAGCCATGATACATGAAGAGAACTTGGTGTCTTCTGGGGGAAAGTTTCTTCTGGGAGACAGAGCACAACAAAACTGAGACTTCATCTTTAAAAATCAAATTACAATCCTATATTAGTCAGATTTCCGTCCCCATGACACGGCACTGAGAAACAGGTTACTCAGAAGGAAGGCTTAATGGCTCGTGTTTCAGAGGTTCCTGCCCATGACCGTGAGCTTTCCAAGTGGCCTCTGGAGCTGGAGGGAAGGAGGCGCAGGAACCCCGGTGTCACCTTCCAGGTCACCTCTGGTTACCTCACTTTCTTTCACTAGGTCCTGCCATCACCTCCCAGTACCACCACAGGCTGGTGACCAAACAAATCTTCACGCATGGGCCTTTGAGGGACATTTTACATCCCCCGGCCTGTCATCTAAGCTCACCCTTACAAAGTATGCAACAGAGTGGTTTTCAGGACATTCACAGAATTGTGCAGCCATCGTTAGCTGATGTTCTGCAGCAGTTTTATTACCCCCACCATAAACCTATGTTCCTCCAGCTGCTCCAGTATCTAGTAATTGCTTTCTGACTCTGGATTTGCAAAATATGGGAGGCCTCTGTAAGTGGAATCATGTGCTGTATGACCTTTTATCCTCAGTTTCTTCTCCTTGGTGTGTTCTCCTGTTCATCCTGCAGATGAACTGTATCAGATATGAAGATTCTTTTGTCTGGGTGAATAATATTCTAGTGTGTGACCTTATTTTCTTTAGTTGTTCATCCTCACAGATATTTGAATTGTTTTTTTCTCTTTAGCTTTAATGAATAAGGCTGCTTTACATATTCCTGTACAGGAGAGTGTGTGAACATAATGTTTAAGTGGTCTTGGGTGTATACCTAAGAGTAAAATTGCTGCGTGGTATTTTTTTTAAAGATTTATTTGTTTATTATGTACACAGTATTCTTAGTATTCTGCATGTATGCCTGCAGGCCAGAAGAGGGCACCAGATCTCATTACAGATGGTTGTGAGCTACCATGTGGTTGCTGGGAATTGAACTCAGGACCTCTGGAAGAGCAAGCAGCGCTCTTAACCACTGAGCCATCTCTCCAGCCCCTGCATGGTATTTCTTAAGGGCATGAGTATGACTTGATGACAGTGTGTTTGACCCAGTGTTTACCATCAGCAGCACTACTGTTAGAGTGACTGGATTTAACTTTTTGAAGAACAGCTGAGCCATTTTGCATGGCCTTCAGCAGCATGTGAGGGATCAGTCTCTCATTCTTGCTAGCGTTGTCATCTGTGAGCCACAGTCAATCCCAGGGCAGTGAAGCAGGCCCCCTTGAGACTTTGGTTTGTAGTTCTCGTGGCTGATGCTGCTGAGTGGTTTTTTTTTTTTTTTTTTGCACTTATTTGGCTATAATTTCTTTTCTAATGTCTGTCTCTTTGGTTGATTGGTTGGTTGCCAGAATTCTGCTAGGTAGTCGCTCTTACTGTGCTATGCCCCTGGTCCATGCTTTGTTAATGCCGTTGATGGCAGTACGTTAGATTCAGTGTTCACACCATCAGTACTACTATTAGAATAGTTGCCACACAGACTGTTTTATGGTGAAGTTCACACTCAGGGCTATAACAAATAAGCTTCAGTGTTTAACCAGCTTCATGCAACAGTGTGATTAACAGTCTACATGAGTGCTCCTGCTTGTTACATGGCTTCTGCTTGTGGGTTCATCATTGTTTGGAGGCTCACCAGGGTCTTCTGCATGTAGCAGATACAGGTCATGGAAGCAGAAGGAGAAGTTATAACTGGTTCTATACAGAACTTCTATAACAGAACTTCTATAACAGAAGTTATAACTGTGTGGCTTGCACAGTGTGCATTCCTGCTATTCACATACCACTGGGGACAAAAACCAGCCTTTCTGCTCTAGTGTGCCTGGACTACTCACTTCTTAGGGAGACATGAATCTTGTGAGCACCTTGTGAGCACGGTGCAGGAAAACAAGTTATTATTTGCTAACTAGTATTCCAATACTTTCATACATTGTATCTCATTGTCTGAATATAGGGTGCTTAGTGGGATAGTGTCCTCATTTTATAAAAGAATTGTGTGGAGAGAAGAAGTATCTTTCCCAAGGAGCAGAGGTCAAATTTTAATCCAGGACTCTTTGCCACTTAGCCCCGCTTACAATACCCAGGTATTACTGAAGAACACTAAACCACCTTGGGAGGAAAAGCATGAAAGGGGGGGGGGATCTTGGTCCCAAGCTGCTGGAACCCTTTACAAACAATGACATGCCTCTAGACGCCATGAGCCGCCTGCTGCATCCTCTCTCCAGAGCCAGCTGTTAGCACAGCTCACCATCTTTGGCATTATTGTCAGTCCCTCTGTCATTTGTACTTCTCTTTGTAAACCTCCATCCAGGGAGCTCCATAAGCCTTCAACAAGAGCACAGTCAACTCTACACAGATGCCGGTCCTCGTGCTTTGTATTTAGCTCACTGGGGTTTTGTGACTGAGAAACGCCTCTGTGTACAGATTTTCTCAATGTCTTGCATGGCCATCAACATCTTATTGGTTTGTTGCCATTAATTGATGAACTTAAATAATTGACAAGATTTCCACTTCGATGATAGCACTCGGGTTTTCCAGTAGCATTTTACATATTAATAAGCTGTGGATGATTCATCAGAACAAAAGAGAAGGGAAAGGAAGGCAAGATTCTGTCGACTCCATTAGAATCAGTGGAATCAGTGGTTATGATTTTATATTTGTAGATGTTGTCTCACCCCCACCTTTAATGTAGTCCTTAAGGAGATGTGCAAACAGTTCTTACTTACGTGCTTCAGAGCAGATGTCAAGAGAAGGTTCTTTTAGCTTCTAGAGCTGAGCTTGTTCTTACTGAGAGGTAGCATGTGTAGGGCGGTCGGGTACACAGAGACCTTAGCCCTTGTATGTTTGGCTCTGCTCTTGCTTGCTTTCAAGATGAAGGATCCTTCTTATTGTAAATAATCATGCTTTGATATTGATAGTTTTGAAAAAACTTGTCTGTACTCTTGTTCTTCTCATGTTCTAACTGTTAGCCCTCAGACCTTACATTCAAATTGTGGTTCTCTTCCTCCGCTCTCCTCTAGATTGTTGAACCCTAATCTTTTTTGGAATGCAAGCAGCACGTAGGACATTAAACAATACAGGGAGATGTAAGCGGAGAGCAAAGCATGACCTTCGCATCTTCCTGCCCACTCCTCAGAGGTTGCACCTTTGACTTGCTGTAGGGTTTTTGTTTTCGTTTCCTGACGACTTCCATACTATCAGCAGCATCTTATTCCTTATTCATTTGCCAGCTTTCTTAACTTCCTACTCATGTCTGGGTTATGTTTTCTCTTTAGTTCTACTTTAATGTAGCTTTAAACATAAACAATATACCTGACTTCTACTTTCTGGCCCACCCTTTAAGGACAGGACCTCTTGACTTCCCACTATGTGAATGGATAAATGGATGTCCTGTGTTTACTCTGACTTTCCTACTTCTCATTTTTGTCTTTCTTTTCTTTTTCCTCCTTCTATCAGCTCTTTGATCGCATTAATATTGTAAAGGTTTGTGATGCTTATTTTGCTATAACTTGGAGATAAACTTTCTGTGTGGCCACAAAGACCCTGAAAAGGAAACCCCTGAGAAGTCATCGTGATGTTCTGGTTATAGAAACACTGTCCACACAGTATCTAGTCACTGCTCAATGTGGGAAACACCACACTGCACCTCTCAGCTCATGGCCTCCTGAGAAGAGCTGTGTGCTAGGTTCCAAGCAGATGGATGGGGCTTTCTGGGAGTGCTCAGAATGGTTCCACTGCTAAGGAACCATTAGCAGCTTTTTGTTGCCCAAGGTTCCTAATCGGATAGTTTTGCTGTTACCAAAGCTTCTGAAGCTTGCTGTTGACTCATTGGTTAATTCTGGGCAAATGCGTCCTAACCTACTCAGAGCTGTGACTTAAGATTTCTTTTCTTTCCCATCTAGGTTGGCTTCTCTTCTTTTTTTCCTTCTATTTGTTCTTTTTTCTTCCTTCCTCCCTTTTTCCTTTCCTCCCTTTCTTCCTTCCTTCTTTCTTTTTCTTTCACTCCTTCCTTCCTTTCTTTCTTTTCTTTTTCTTTTTTTTGTAGAGCATGGTAAAGGGTTAACAAAATCCTTTCTCTGTGAGTCAGATATTGACCTTGGACCCAGTTCCTCCCTTTCTTGATCCATTGTCCCCAAACCTCACAGAAGTGGAATATTAGCTATTCTGTTAAGCGGTATTGCTTATGATAAAAATTATCCCTGGCTCATAAATAGCCTCTGGCGTAGAAGGCTCTAGGTATGCATTTAGAAGCTCCAGCTGGGACTCCTAGGAGCAATGACTTTGTAACTGGACATGCCCTATTATTCTGGGACAGAGCTCATGGCTGTGGCCAGGGAAATTGCTTTGTATTTGGAGTGTGAGGCTTACCACCGAGGGTCTCCACCTTCCTGTTACTGAGTAACACTCACTACATATTACATGCAGGAG